TATTTAGTTTAATAATTTCAATTTCTTCGCTTAACAGTACTCCTTTATAGATTTACTAGTTTTTTGGGAATCCCCTGTTCGATTAGAATATTAAACAGTTTCTGGCGGTCAATAGAATCGTGAGCCTTTTTGAAATCTATATTCAGCTGGTGAACAATACCGTTGTACTCTAATTTTTTTCTCTAATATTGCCGTAAAGAAAATATTTGATCAATAGTTGAACGATTCCGTCGAAATCCGCATTGGTAGTCTCCGATAATTTCCTCGGCGTATTCCGTAATAATCTTCGCTAAGACTCTTCTCAAACATTCTTCTTGTATGCGGATCTACAACGTTAAGTCCAAGATGCAGCAAAATAAAATCAGCGAGGTTGTGAAGTTTAGGATTTTTTAGGAAGTTGTAATTATCCTCAAATGTATCCAGAAAGCTTCTGTAGTTGGTAGAATTATTAACCGAAAAGTATTTAAATCGTATAATTTTGTTAAGATGGTAGGCCGCAATGATCTTTTTATTCCTGTGGCGCTTTACTAATTTATCATAGGACAAGCTGTATTTTCTGCATTAAACTCGAATGAAGAAATGGCCTGTGAAACAGGATGAACTAAAAGTTATTTGAGGTATGAAAACTTTACTATTTGGTACCCTTTAGTACCCTTAGTTGGTGCCATCTTCAAATTTATAGAAAGAAAAAAAAAAAATTCAAATCAAATTTCAATTGCTGAAGGCAAAACCTAATTTTATTAAAAATCAAAATTTAATTGCTGAAGGTAAAACTCAATTTTATTCAAAAATTAAATTTAATTGCTTAAGGTAAAACTCAATTTTATTTAAATTAAATTTTAATGTTCAGTGGTGCAGGCCTTTTATTCAAAATAAATTCAAAGTTCAGCAAAGTAGGTCTTTTATTGAAAATAAATCCAAAGTTCAGCAAAGTAGGTCTTTTATTCAAAACAATTTCAAAGTTCAGAAAAGCAGGCAAGGATTAACGTAAGTATTAATGAAGTCACCTAATTCCAGCAAGTCACTATTTGTTCTTTCCTGAATATTCCTGGAAACTTATCTGGAAATTGCTTGACTTCCCTAATACGTAACGAAAGCATTAGATCTATTGGTTAAAGTATATATTTGAAAAACGTGTTATTAGGCGAAATATTAATATATGTATGAAAATTTTTGTAATTTTAAGGATTTCTTCGCTATTAAGGCCTGTTTATATGTTTTAGGGGCCACATAATAATAAAAATATAATTAATAATAATTATATAATTAAATAATAAAAAAAAACACTTAAACAACATATGTACATATAAAAGAAACAATATAAATAACATATGTAGAATTTATTTTCACTTCACCTTATTTATTTTGGTGGGCGAATAATAGTTTAATGCTATTTAAAATAGCTATGAACGGACCCTTCTCTGTAAACCGGTCGCCACAAAATTTCACATAAATATGAATCGAGGTTTTGTCTGGCAGTTCCTCTATGTTTCCTATTTCTCCACTTAGCTGAGCTCCATAATTGTTTTATGTGTTGAGTATGGAGCCCAGTTGATGGATCAACAAAATTATAGCGGTGATTCGCCTGGAAATGATTATAGTTTGCTTCATTCAGTTGTCGGCCGTTGTATCCTTTCCAACAGTCAGAATAAATGTAGCTTCC